GGGTCCGGGCTGGGGATTCGAACCTGCCACCTTAGGTGTACGTGGCTGGCGCCTTAGCCGGTTGAGCTATAGGCGCCGAGCCTAGGCTTTGTTTCTTGACCTTGCTGTGGGAACACCTTGGTACGCAGGAGGCAAACATCCGCCCTTATGGCGGTTTGGCTCCAAGATGGTGTTACTCTTGCCACGCAATAGGCTTAATCTTAAACTTCCACTGGAAAAGATGCTCCAAGCATCTCCCTCTTGGAACCCATCTATCCAAGCAGTAGAGGCGGGACTCCAGCCATATCCTGGGAGGAATGGGGTTGCCTTGAGCACCTGGTTCTCCCAGCAGGCCCACCAGGTGTGACATCGTTTCAGGGGGCTTTTCTGGATCTCATCCTCTGATCTCAGGTGCAGTGATGGACCTGAGTCAGCTCACTTGGTAAAAATTTCAGGAATTTTGTGAATCAGCCATTACTAAAAATTATTCATATAACTTATTTAAAAAGTTTTTAAAACAAGGATAACAAATCCGCAAAACCCCTCACTTCCTACTTATTTGACTACATCTGAATATCCTTTACTTATGGGCACATCATTGTCTGAAGGCCACAGGAAGGAGTACCTGGCTTCCTGGTTGCTCCCCAAGATGGGGCAGGGTCATTTGACTCTCTTATAGCCCCAGAATGCCCAACAGGCAGGGATGAGGGTGAAGGTGCCAGGGTGGGGCTGCAGGCCCTCCCTGCCACCTCCCTGCAGGTCTATGCCTGGCCATGAATTGCTACCTTTCTAGGGGGTTTCCTTGACCAGCTGAGCTTAGAACTGTCTTGAGACTTTTTTTTTTAAAATAAGTTCTAACTTTCTCACTCTGGGTAGAGTGCCATGGCATCATAACTCACAGCAACCTCAAACTATTGGGCTAGAGCTATCATCTTGCCTCAGCCTCCCGAGTAGCTGAGACTACAGGTGCCTGCCACTGTGCCCAGCTAGTTTTTCTATTTTTAGAGGAGACAGGGTCTCACTCTGTTCAGGTTGGTCTCAAACTCCTGAGCTCAGGTAATTAACCTGCCTCAGCCTCTCAGAGTGATAGGATTATAGGTGTGAGCCCTACTGCACCTGTCTGGTCTTGAGACTGTTACCTATATTCCAGTGTACACTTCTCTCTTGATTGTCCCAGAGAATTTATGGTGCCAAGCTTCAGCTATGGCCTTGCCTTCTCAGCACCCAGGGGCATATCAGGTCACCCCTGCCCCAACTCAGGGAATCCTTTCCTGCAGAGGGCAATGCTGTTTTCACTTCCATGGGCTCACCACAGCCTTGCCAGGGGTAGGTCGCTCAGCCTCACTGTGCTTGCCCTTATGGCTCTGTGGCAGTCATGGTGAGGCCACCACAGGACAGAAAATGGGCCTGTGGAGTGACCCCTCATCTCTGGGTTCCCCAAGGGTCTGGCTGCCCAACTCCTCATCCCCTCTGTCATTGAAAGGGAAGGAGCCTCCAGTGTCTGACTGGAAGGGACTGTGGGAAATAGGGAATGGAGGACACATAGATTCAGAGAACAGAGCTGGGAGGCCACAGCTGTCATATGGATTCATGGCCTGGTGTGGTCCAGGTGGTGGCCACCTCAGTGTACAGTGGGAGCTGAGATGGGCCACAGGGCCTGGGCTCCACATAGCGAGGATTCCTGGGAGAGGAGTGTGCAGACGGAGAGTGATGATTCTGACTCCTGGCCCTGGATCCAGGAGCCCTGGGACAGGCCAGTGGGGAATAGGGGTGCCTTGTTTCCTGACCCTTGGGGCTCATGTGTCCACCTTTTGAAATCCACTTTCACACTAAATAAAAAAGAAGAGCCATTTTCTCCTGGCTCCAGTAGCATCTGTGACCCCATTTACATGTACCTACCAGCTGACTTGCTGCTGGGGCTGCCCAGGCTTGTGGGCTGGCAACTTGGTTCCTCGGTGCCACAAACCTGGAGAGAGCCCTGCTGCCCTCCAGTGGCCTCAAGTGGGACCTCAAGCCCTGTCCCCGCTGCCTGCCTGTGAGGGACACAGTTGCTCTGGTGCTATAAGAAAAAGCTGAGACGCTACTCTTTATTCTGTGCTTAGGCTTAAAAAAAAAAAAAAAGTCCCTCATTGTACAGTGAGTCCCTGGCTTGGGTATAGAGAAGAGATTCATTTTCATGGCTCTAAGCAGAGTTTCTCAGCTGTGGCAGGATGGATATTTGGGACCAGATAACTCTGTGTTGTGTAGGGCTGATCCATGCATTGGAGGGTGTGCAGCAGCACCCCTGGCCTCTGCCCACTAGATGCCCGTAGCTTACCATCCTCCCCGTCAGTCCTGACAACCAAAACTGTCTCCAGATACTGTCAGACATCCCCTGGCAGTTGCAAAACTGTCCTCAGCTGAGAGCCTCCAGTGCAGAGAAAGTCAAGGCCCACACATCCTGGACATGACCACCTAACTGAACTGTTAGGCAGCCAGGGTCACAGAGCCTCACCCTTTCAATAGGTGACTGACCTAGAACTCTGGGTGGCTCCAAGTGGGGTATAGGGCACCACAGGATCCTAGGATTGGGCCCAGTCTGGCCTCTCTCAGTCATACTATGACCTTTACCCTAATCCTAACCCTAACCCCAGCCATCTGCATAGCTGGAGAGTGAGGCCAGCAGTCTGGTGGTATAGCACGGGGACATGGTACCATTGACTTGGATAAGCATTTCCCCCAGTGTCCCCATGCTGTAAGAGCAGAAGCTACAGTGGCCACCAGGCCCATCCCAGACCATCCTGCAGCCTCTTGGGCCACCCGCAGGGCCTTTCTTGTCTATTGGCATGATAGAGGAGGGAAGACAGATTAGAGGGATATTTAGTAGTTGAGACCCTAGCCTTCAATGGAGCTCCTTGAGGTGGGTGGGCTGCCGAGCTGCTGTGGCAGCGAGATGCCCATTGTCAATCCAGCAGTCTCCTGCCTGCTTCAGAACCATCTGGAGACTCCCTGTGCAGCAGGACCCAGCTCACCATCTGAAAGTCCTTGTCAGGTGGCTGAGCAGCTATGGGGTGGGAGGCAGGCAGGGCTGCCAGCAGCCTCTCACACCTCTGCAGCTGTCTCTGGAAGGCTGGTGGTGAGCTCTGTGCAGGGCTGCCTCACTATTTCAGATAAGATGCCCACAACCTTGGCCTCTCAGGGGGAGGAGCTACTGCTGGGATATCTGGGAGCCAAACACAGACACCACCCTGAGTCATCCTGGGCGAGGGCTCTTTCCACAGGGTTGCAAGAATCCTGGGTTTCTTTTTCTTTCATTGCTCAGTTTTAATAATAAGCACATCCGTGGGGTTAATTCAGAGTGGGGTTAATAAGGAAAGAAAAACTACTGATGAATAGAAAGTGTGCTTGGGGGTTGGGAGAGGACCGGGACCAGGAGGGGGTCTCAGCCCCACTTCTCAAGCCCTTGGCTGAGGACAGTGGCCATAAAGGAGGACATATCTGATAAACTCAGCTACTTGATAGACATACTCAGCGTCCCACCACTCTCGCTAAGGAGACAAGTCCCCGATAATGCACACCAGCAGAGAATTCCTGACTCTGTCGACCCTTGAGCTTGATAGGGGGCAACAGGGGGGCACTTAGACCTTAGACAAGGCATGTGGCTGGCTGGGTCTCTGTTGGAGTGGCTAACCATGCTGGTTCAGCCCTGCAAGAGTTATGCCCCAGGCAACCCAGGGCAGTCCGTGGCCCTCTGTACTTCACTTTCTGGAGGAGTTCCCACCTAGAGGGGACGAGGGTGGTCTGTAAGTGAGCCTGAGGGAGAGGTGAGCAGAGATGCCCAGGAGAACTGGTTCCAAGACCCCAAGGGTGCTGGACTTCTGTGTCCCGGACATAGAAGCGTTGTCGATGTTTCCTAGATCTCCACTTACTCCCTTTACAAACTTTGCTCCTTCAGAGCTGCGGATCCTGCTGCTGTGTGGCAGTGACCTGCTGGAGTCCTTCTGCATCCCAGGCCTCTGGAACGAAGCCGATGTGAGTAGCAACAAGGTTTTGGGCTTGGCTCGCAGTGGGGACTGGGCATGCTGGGAAGGGTTGTCCCCCTAACTGAAGTCTTCCACCTCCCTTGGTTCCCAGGTGGGCAGTCCTCTGACATCACTAGAGATTTCTCACCTACCCCAGCTTTGTCTCCTACTGTGTTTTTACACTCTCTCCTCACACTCCTCCTGTAATGCCCCTGGGGAGAAAAGCAACCTGAGTCACAGAATGCCAGGATCCAAGTACAGTAGTGCGAGGGGGTGGGTGTGTTGGAGGGAGGGGGGAGGGAGGGAATAAGGAAAAAAAACTTTGCCCTTCTGAGATTACTGTGCATTTTGTTTTCCTTTGGTCCCTTTTGAAAAGGTAATAAATACCCCCCTAGAATTCCTCAGCAAGAGGAAAAGGGTCAAGAGGGGAGAAGTTAAGAGCAAAAGGTCAGTAGTGTCCTTTTGGCAATTGACTTGGGCTAGAGGGAACCCAGCAGTTAAACTTAGCACCACTTAGAAACTTAATCAACATCTTTTGTTGCCAGATCTTGATTATGATGGTCTTGCAACAGCAACCCTAATCCATAAATAACTCACTCTTCACACATTCGTCCATTCTTGTTTTTTCATTAATTCATTCATCTGATAGCCCTAGCTAATGCTAGCTCCCAACCCCATAACCCTCTGCAAGTTGAATTCCCCGAGGCAGCAATTCCGGACAACTTTTTATTATCTTGCTCTGTGAATCCATGCAAATCAGTCAACGCCTCTGGGCCTCAGTTGTTTTTTTTAAATCTATAAAGTGTTATCTACAGCAGTCTGAGATTCTAAAGAAATATACAACTCCTATCCCCAAGTTAGGAGGTGACGTGTCATATATATGTGGAATCTTTTCGTGTACTTTGTGTCTCTGGACTGAGAGATAAAGAGAGGCAGGAGAGAGCGAACATTCAGGGGGGCAGACTCAAGGTTCCAGTTCTACTCCAACACAGCTTATGACAAAATATATCCTGAGTCTCAGTTTTCCCCTAAAACTCATTTTCTCATTTCCTAAAAAAGGGGCATAATAATCGTACCTACATCACATGGTTTTGGAAGATATAAATAATATTGTCTATTGAAAGTACCTCATGCACAGTCACATGCCACGGTTGTTAACAAGTGAATTTACAAACAGACATTCACATAGCTCTTCAAGGGGAAAAGCCCAAATGCTAGCCTGCCAGTGGGATAGCCCAGAGCCAGGGAGAGTTTCAAAGATGCAAATTATACTATGCAGTCTTTTCATCTCCACCCTGGAACAACTTCCTGCAGGTGAAATTTTAAACCTCCTTTCAGTTCTGGATTAAGGAGCTTAATTAGCTTCTACTTTCCTTGCTACTTCACAGAGTGCTGTGAAAGTAAAAAGTAATAAAGGCAAAGTTCTGTACAAGAGCTCAGCAAAGCTCTTTCAGGAATCCAGGCAAATCTGTGTGATTGCCTGGGGCTGTGTTTTATGGGGAGGCCTGGGCAGTGAGGGAGGGACTTCAGGATGGAGCCACCCGCAGCAGCAGGGAATCCCTGGAGCTCTTTACTAACTGTGCTGGGAGAAGAGGTTCCTCCCAAGGGCAGACCCAGGCTTCGTGGAGCCTGCAGCTTGCACAAGTTGGGGCCCTGGCTGTAGGGCAGGTCCTCTCCGTGCCTCCCAGTGAGATTGCTGACTTAGATCCCATTCTCCAATTTTTCTGCAAAATGGCTACTGCTGATGTCATCAGATACCGACATTTGGGACCGAGGGAGAAGGGCCCTAGTTCTCTCTGATGGTGGGCTCCTGGTGCTGAGACCAGGGTCGGTTGGTTAAAATAGGAAATTTGAGAAACCAAGAGCTGTTGATTTACCAGGAATGTGACAGGGAGTCAGAGTGAAGTCCTCATCTGTTCACAAATGTTCTTGCTTGACCAGTTGGCCAAGTTCCGCCCTGTCTGTCTTCCCTTTCTGGACTCCCGAGGGAGATCATAGAATTTCAGTACCTTCTGGGTGATTGGGAAAAAGGAAAGGGATCTTTCTATCCCATTCCCAACCCCAAGTCTGAGATGAGTAATTTTGTGGCATCTCTTAGAAGCAGGGATGGATGAGATAATGAACCAGCAGCAAGGGAGGGTGACCAACTAGTCCCAACTTTCCCAGGACTTAACACAGTTTTAAAATTGAAACTCCCACATCCTGGGAATTCCCTTAGTCCTGGGCCAACAAGGATAGTTGGTTGCCCCGGTACCCTGCCTGGCTCTGCTCAGAGAATACCACTGTCCCAGGCCAGCAGGGACCCCACATCTAACCTTTCTAGTCACCTGCAAGGACAGCAGGAGGATTTGGGTGAAGCAGACCTCACATTTGCTCCACAGGGCTTTCTAGAGCCTGGAGTGGACCTGCCTCCCCCACCCCAGCTAATCACTCAGTCCTCTACCTCGACCACAGCCCATATGTGAGGTCCTTAGAATCATTGTCTGACACAGAGGAGAGGGGACTCTAAGGAGATGTTTCCTCACATAGTGTGCACCTGGCCTGCAGTGGAAGTGTGGCAGAAATATCACATTAATTTATTTAAATCAAATTAAAAATCCACTCCAAATCCCTACCCTACAGGGATGGTGGAAGGTTGGTGTTAGTCATGATTAGAACTGAGGGGCTCCTGTGTGCCTGGAACATGAGGATAGTCCTTCACCCTCAGCCAGGGTCACCCACCTTCATGGTCCCTAAAGGTGGAGGGTTCTCTGCTCCACACCCACCTGGGATGGAGGGCTCCTGGTGGAGTCTGGGGGACTAGTGTGGGGCGTCACCCCCCCCCAGGGGGCTATTGGGGACCAGGCAGGATGAGCTTCCCAGGCCTCTAGTTTTTTCCTCCCGTGGTAGAAGTTGGTGTGAGGGCAGCAGAACCTCTTCTTCCTTCTTGAGTTCTGAAAGTCCCTTCCTTAGTTTCTTTCTCCTCCTCAGGACACTTAGCAAAAATCTCATCAGTGAGTTCGAGGCCATTGACTTCAAAGATTTCTGGGTTTGCCCTGCAAATTCCTCCTGTAGAGAGTCTGGCTCTCTAGTAGAGATAGGGTTGGGGACATAGGGAGCAAGAAATGACATAGTTAACTCAGTGAATTATTCTGTCTTCACGTGGGAGTGATTGGATCTCAAGGTCTGGAAAAGGAACATCTTTCAGGAACTGGCTTCTTGTGCTGGCAAGGTTTATCATCTGTCTGGGGTTTGCCTGGAAATGGCCCATTTTAGGAATTTTGGTTCCTAATCACAAGACTCTCGGGGATGACATATGTGAGACCTGCTTCTGTCCCAGGTTGCTTTCATTCTTTCTTCTTTCAGAACACATTTTTCTTTCTTATCTACTTATTGCCACAGTGACCACGAGCCCAAATCCCTGAGTCTGTCCTTGACGGGGGACAAAAATGGGGAGAGGAGAGCAAGGCTGCTTCTCTAAGATGTTTCCTAGGAGATGTTTCTCCTAGATGTTTCTAAGATGTTTCCTGGATGTTTCCTAGGCTCCACCTGCATCCTCCCATGTCCTCTCCAGAATTCTCAGAAAAAAGGACAATGAGAAGCCACTTGTTCAAACAGGTCTGGGGAGAACTAGGAGCCTCTTTTCCATCCTGTAAAGAAAGCTGGAGGGAGCCGTGGAGGCCCCTTGCTGGACACCTCCAGGCTGGACACCAGCCGAGGTCTGTTCCTTGTGACAGCCAGATGCCAAGGCCTCTTCCTGCATAGCCACACCCTCCCCACTGAGTCATTTTTGCTCTTTCTTTTGCCTTGGATTCCTGAACCGAAGCCCTCCAGAAATCTAATTACACAACCAAATGGACACCCCTCTCTCCCCACTGCCCAAAGCCATCCTGTGGCATTTCCCATCAGGCACAAAGATCCATTAGCCCACAGCAAATTCTGACCTTCTCTGACCAGTGACCCGCCTTCCCCCTTACATTCCATGGGGAAAAAAATTCCATACATGTTCATCGAGTTTCTCCCAAGTGTATTACAAAAGAGCTGCTGTGCGCCTGGCAATTGGCATTTTCATTCTTAAGTTCTGAGAAAAATCAAGATCTAGCCTCCTGGACAAGCCTTGGAGATCAGGACCCAGCCCCGACACTCCATGCTATTCATCCCTGGCTCTTTATTAGAGAACTAGTCTCCCCCAGAAGACCTGATGCTTTGCTTCACTGCGCCCTGACACCAACACCGGTGTAGGTATCCAGGTGCAGATCAGGAACTGCAGGAAATCAAAACCAACCAAAACCCCATATCAAGGCCAAAGCCTGTAGGATCCGCCTTAGGCAAGTTTGTGAAGCAGAAAAGTTTATGCTGACTCCCCTCCTCCGAACAAAACCAGTCTTCTAGGAAGCTGATACTGCCAGATGCTTTGGGCATCACGTTATAATGGAAGGCCGGCACATTCATTGTGATTCAAACGTTCCTTTCTTCAATCAGTCTTTCAACAAATCCTATTGAGTATCAGGTACAAACATGGCATGCATTTACTCTTAAGGCACTCCTATTCTTTTTTTTTTTTTTTT